ATCGTCGAGAGGGAATAAAAGATTCCATGCCAGCCTGAATCCACGAAGTTATGTAAGAAGCACATTTGTCAGCAGGAAGACGAAAGATTTCTACCCAAGGGCCATCACGAAGAAAATCACAGAAAGAGTCCCAGTCAGCTTTAAGGTAGTTGTATGTGGTACGATGATAGGGGGATTCTGATGAAGTAGAAGAATTTGATAATAGTTTTAGAGAGATCAAACCGTGATCAGAAGTACCTAAGGGTGAATGTGGAGAAATTGAGCACTGACTAGGATCCAAAACAAGACATAAGTCGAGTAGAGAAGGTAAATGATTAGGGTTGTCTGGAAAACGAGTTGGAAAGTTGACTATTTGAGTTAGAGATTGAGAAAGGCAAAAGTTGAGAGCCTTAACGCCAGCAGAGTCACTGACACTAGAGCCAAGCCAATCGGTGTGATGGGCATTAAAGTCACCAACAATGACGATATTGGCCGATGGATAAAGAGAGAGGGCTTGGTCAATTTGATCAGAAATAACATCAAGAATAGTGCAATCTTGGGATGAAGGAGAGCGATATAGAACAAAGAGAAAGGCGATAGAGTGAAGTTGTGCTAAACGAAAGCACATAAATGAATAGTCTGTAGATTCAAACTTAGTTTCACGACAAATGGGCGAGTTTTTACGAATGTAGATGCCCAGGCCAAGCATGTGATTATTGGAGTCTTTACGAATTAAAGGACAGCCGAACTCAAATTAGTATCACAAAGAGCAACATTGACTGAGGGTTTGGTATAGGTCAGCAACCTACTCATTATTCTTCGTTTTCCCTCATCGTTTTCTAAAAACGCTCCTTTATTTAGGCTTGCAAAAAAAGTGAGCAATTGCGCATATAAATATGCTATAAATATAACTTTCCAAGGAAATCTGAAAACTTAAAGACGCAGGTAATATGACTATAATTAAGTGGAACATAATTAAAAGATGTCAATCTTTTAACCCATCTACAAAAAAGTGTAACCTTTGCATCAATGAAAAGTATTTTATTATGACTTGATAGTCGACTACTACTTAACAAAAAAAGTGAATTGGTTTCTGCTTTTAGGCATAGGAAAAAATTTTTACTATCTAACTTTGATTCTGGCGATTAGCAAATATTGGATCACGTATAATTGACGCCAGATGCCGTTGCAACACTAAATTTGTATTTTTTATAACGGTTTTTATTTTTTATTTGAATAATATGGCTGATAATTGCCGAATGGCATGAAACTTTTAGTTCCATCATAAAGTTGTATTTTTTTCATTTGAATTATTTTAATATAATTTGATCTATTTAAAAAAAAAAAAAAAAAAAAAAAAAAGATATTAATCACTCTTAAACAGACAAGAGTTGTATTTCTAGCAGTATACAACATTTATATATATATATATATATATATATATATATATATATATATATATATATATATATATATATATATATATATATATATATATATATATATATATATATATATATATATATATATATATATATATATATATAAATGTATATATATATATATCTTATACTGCTGAGTTAGGTGAGCATGATGATGTCATACTCACCTAGCGTCAAATAGCCTGCTGGTGGGGGCTTCAGTACATACATCGACTGACAAATAGCCTGACTTGTAGTGGAGTGCTGCTACATTGACTGAGGGTTTGGTATGGGTCAGCAACCTATTCATTATTCTTCATTTTCCCTCATCGTTTTCTAAAAACGCTCCTTTATTTAGGCTTGCAAAAAAAGTGAGCAATTGCGCATATAAATATGCTATAGTAGATAAAATATATAAATATGCTATAGTAGTATAAAAATACATGAATAAATAAAAAAATAATCATATAGATAATTTTATTTAGACATTAAAAAAAAAGAAAAAAAAATTTAATTGCTATTTTCGTAATATAAAAAAATCAGTTAGAAACTCGTCAAGCGCGATGAGTTATTCAACCTTAACGTAATTTCAAAATATAATTAAAAATAATTTTCTATTAGTGTTTTAGTTTTTCAGATTTATATTAGTTGATTTTTTTTTTAGAGCTATAGGTTTTAATTTTTTTTTTTTTTTTTTTGATTTTTCTTTCGTTAAGATTTCTTTCTTTTTTATATAGTTTAGCCTGTTTATAATTTTTTTCCTGTCTGTTTTTTTCAATGCATTTTAATTATGTAAAAAGCTGTAGTCAAGCTTTCAAAAAAAATAATTACTTGTGTGGCCATGATTGGAGTGCGATTGCATGCCTTTCCTGTCCACAACTAATATATGTATATATATATATATATATGTGTGTGTGTGTATGTGTGTGTGTATGTGTATATATGTACATATGTACATATATTATATATATATCCTCTATAACATTTTAAAGTTACATCATGTCTCAATCTGTTACAATTGGTAGCATGGTTACATTCTCTAATTTTTAATTGAGTATTTAGTCAATAAACCTGTAAATGTAAATGATTATCATTGCTGTATTGCTTATTATTATCTTTTATTCATCTTCAATTAGCTACTTTGTCACAAAAAAATAAATAAATAAATAAAGTTTCAATTTACAATGTTTAAAGTTACGTCTCAATTATTTTTTTTTTAGCTTTTTAAAGTGTAGCCTATTAAGATGTAACATAACATAAATAAATCTAGATTTGAGATGTAATTAAATGACATCTTAAATAAATTTTTTTAACTTTATGTTCTGTCTCAATTGGTTAAAAAGTTTATATTTGTGACGTATTTTAGTTATGTTTTAATTCTTAAATGTTTTACATTATGTCTCAATTGAACACTTTTATGTTGTAAATAAATAATTAGATTGCTTAAGTAGCTTAGATTGCTCTCTTAGATTGATTGGTAGATTGCTGATTCTAAATTCTAAATAAAAAGATTGCTCTCTTGATTGCTAAAATTACATTATCTTCTTACTAGACCATGAAAATAGACGCGGCTTTTTTGTCGAGCCCAAATTTTTGTGCCTATGTGACATCATTTTGTGGCAAAAACTAGAAAAATAAACTAGAAATAAGGCTTTATTTAAATTTTTAAGGAAAATTTCTTTTATTAAAAATATATAAAATATATTTTTATGGTATAAAAATAAAATATTTTACATCCATTCTGGAACTGATTGTTGATTGTTTCCACTGAATTCTGGAATTAACTTAAAATCAACTTTAGTTGACATTGCTTATTGTTTCACATTAAAAAGTTATAAAATTAATTCTTTTTTTTTAATAAAGGTTTCCTATCTCAAAAAAACAGTTGATTTTATAAAGCGTGTTGATATCAAGCCAAACCTTCATCTTATGACTTTATCCTCTATAATGAATCTTAATGCGAATTAACATAATTTATATACAAACTAATTCAATGGCCCTATACTCATTTTAATTTACATACAATCTTCAGGATATTCTCATTTCTAAGGTCGCATTATTCGCTGATGATACTACCATTTATTCTTATCTTGATAAGAAGCCAACACTCTCTGATTGCTTAGAGGGGGGCATTTGAGCTTGAAAAAGATCTCACTTTGCTACATCATGAGGCTCACAGTGGCTGGTGAACTTTAATTCAGATAAAACCCAAATTATTTTGAGCCAATTGTTATTGCAATAATTTAGATCTTCCTATATTTATGAACGGAAATATACTTGATAAGTCATCTACCCTTCATCTTCTAGGATTAACTCTTACTTCTTTCAATCTTTCGTTGAAGCCATATTTCAAATCCATTGCAAAATTAACACCTGCTAAGGTTGCAACTCTTTATCGTGCTCAACATTTTCTCACTCCAGAATCTATTTTTTATCTCAATAAATCTCAAATCTGCCCTTTTACAGAACATTGTTGTCATATCTGGGGGGAATTATAAAGCGAATATTCAAATAAGGCCCTTTCTCTTTTAGACAAGGTGAAAAAATGAATTGTAAACATAGTTGGAACTGCTCTTGTAGCCAACCTCCAACCATTATCACATTGTTGTAATGTTGCTTCTCTTTCTCTTTTCTAGAAATACTATAATGAGCACTGCTCTAAAGAGCTAGCGTCTTTTGTGCCATCTACTAAAATTAATTCTCGTGTTACTCGTCATTCAATTAAGTCTCATCCTTTTACTGTGACTATTCCTAAGTGCTTTAAAAACTCGTATCCATCTAGTTTTTTCCTCGAATATCAGTTCTTTGAAGTTCGCTTCCTTTATCTTGCTTTCCTGATTCATATAATTTTCAATCTTGTAAGTCGTCTGTCGATTGTTATCTTGCTCTATAAACTTCATTGTTTCCAGTAACTTCCAACTCTAATAGTGGTTGCTTGCAGCTTTGTTGGAAGTAGAGATGTTGAAAAAAAAAACACTTAAAGGACACCATCCTTTAATAACAATTGAAAGTGAGGTATTTGTTTATGTTCAAAAACACCCTAGACCATTATAAACATGCCAGACCTTTTTAAACACCCTAGACCATTATAAACATGGTAGACCTTTAAAGACATCATAGACCTTTATAAACACACTAGACCTTTATAAATACACTAGAGCTTTATAACAAAAGCAATGTAAAATAATATCTGTTATATCCTGTCAGTTGCATCACATATAAGGTAGTAATACTTGGTATATTTAGCTGGATATTCAGCTGGGTATTAAATCTGGTATACCTCTAGTATATATATATATAAAATTAAACTTATAAATAAAGAAAAAAGTTATCAATATTCAAGCAGCCGAATATATGCATTCAATGACTGCTCTGAACAGGCGATTAAGCTTGTGTGAGAGTTTGTTAATTCTATTCACAATAAAGAATGGCTGTAGACTTAGCCCCAACCATGTTTTATCAAGTCCGCAACGATTATCAGTTTTCTTTAGTTTCTATTTATGAATTAGATTTAGCCAAGTTGATTATTATCTATTTCTTTTTCAGATATTGTTACTATATTGGAACTTATTTTAAAAACAATGTAAACATTATTTTTAGTTGGTTTTTTGGCAAAATTACAAGAGAAAAAGCTGAAGAATTACTTACACCACGAGAAGTTGGATTATTTCTTGTCAGAGAAAGTACTAATTTTCCGGGTGATTATACACTCTGTGTTGTTAGGTATGTTTTATGTTTACACACTTGTTAGATGTTCTTTATTAGTCTTACACACTTGTTTAGTATGTCTTATGTTAACACAACTTGTGTTGTTAAGTATGTTTTATGTTGAAAATATCTGTGTTTGTTAGGTATGTCTTATGTTTACTGTTATGTTAATAAGAAGGTATGTGTGTTTATGAATATGATATTTTTTTGATTTTTTTTCTTAGTTTTATTTATCTTAATGATCCTTTGTTTTCTTTGTCATTTTCGTTATTGTTGTGGATTTTTTAAAATTATAATTGCTGTTAATTTTTGCTTTGTTATTGTTGTGAAGTTTACTGCTTTCTTCTTAAAGTCTTTTATAAAAGTTCAGCCCAAAGCATAAAATAAAAAAACTTTTTTCAAATATTTTTCTTAGTGAAGATCTTAATGAAGATTTTTTTTTATAGTCCACAAAATAATAAAAAGGTTGAGCATTATCGCGTCATCTCAACAAATGATAATCGAGTTACAGTAGACGAAGATGCCTTTTTTCCTAATCTAATTGAATTGATAAAGGTTAATTTCATAATTTTTAAAATAAATTTTTTATATACTTAGATATGTATTTATAACTATTATGTTTATTCAGGGTGGCCACGCTTCCTAAAAAATCCTAGATTATCCTAATATTCGAAAAACATCCTAAAAAGGCCTAATTTCTTCTAAAGTTTAAATGATTTTCTCAAATACTCCTAAATTCTCCTAATTTATTTGTCCTGAGTATAATGCATAAACTGTTATCAGTCAAACAACTATAAAGGAAATTGCAAAATTGTTAAATTCTTTCTTGTTAGTTTTTTAAACCGACAATCCTATAACGCCTTTTCTCGTGGAAACACTTAAGAATTTACTGAGGCTATTTTTATCAGAAAAGAAGTTTTGTCTAAAGCATCCATAACTTTATATTATTAAAAGTTGATATCAGTTATGTCAAAAATTAATGTTGGTCACACATATTGATCTTGGGTTTGGAATAAAATATGAGTTACAGCAACTGAAATCTAGAAAAAAAGTTACTGATGCACAAATATATTATTTTAAAACCAAAGTTCAACAGTTTTTAGTTACAATGTGCAAACATGGTTGAAAAAAGTGTGTTGAACTCATATTTTACCAGATACTTATTATATTTATAACCTTTGTACATAATGGGATCTTATGAGATGTGTGAACATTGACAAGTTGCTGCTGAAATTAGTTGCTTTTAAAACTTTCAGTTGCTGATCAAGCCAAATTGCAGTATTCATAATTTTTAAATTATGAATACTGCAATTATTCATAATTGCAGTATTCATAATTTTTCAGTATGCAGAATATTTCTTGGGTTTAAAAAAGAAAGTGATAGATAAGATTCTTTTTTAGTTCAATATATAGATGCTTCAAAGTTCAAAGACTTAATGAAATTTTACCAATTATTACAAATATTGTCCTGTGACCAAGCACAAGTAGAGTGTGGATTTAGTATTAAGGACCAACTTCTGGATAATAATATGCTAACTAATACTCTTGTTGCACAGAGAATTGTACATAACCACATGTGCAGGTAAAATATAAAATCATCCCAACTGGCTATGACAATTAACCTTATGAGACATATCAAGGGTGCACAAAAAATATATACTTTAGCAGTCAGAAAGAGAAGTCCCTCTAGACCTTGTAAAACTTACCGTGAGACTAAACTGAAAAATTTTAATAAAGAGATCACACCCTTGAAGGTACCATACTTCAGCTCAGATATGATGCAGATGAGTTTGCATTGCAAGCGCAAAAGCAGAAATTGTTGCGCTTAAAATCTAATGCGCTAAAGAGGGTTGCCTCTGAAAAGCAGAACTTGCTAGAAAAAATTACAGCAGGAAAAAAAGTACTTATTGACAAGAAAGCTACGATTTAGGTTCGAACGTTTTAGTTTTTCAAGTGTTTTTTTTTTCCTGATTTGATTATTTTTTTTATGACTGGATAATAAGGAATATAAAGTTTAGTTTATGAAATTGACTGTGTATTTTAATGATTTTTGATTACTTTGTTTGTTACTAGTCATAAAGTCATCTGTTAAGTGCATTGTTAAATTTGATAAATTTCTAATGTAAGTATGAAATTGATTTGTTTCAAGTTAATATTTTACATGTAGAGATATTAGATTATTTTAAATAACAGTGTTTAGGCTATAATTTTATCTTATTTATCTTAGCTAGGCATTTTTACAGTTTTTAAATAAAATGAAAATTTTTTAGTGCCATTTTATTTTTAAAATCCTCCTAAAATTTTTATACTTTTTTTTTCAAATTTCCTAGCAAATCTCCTTAAAAATCTTAAAAAATCTCCTAAATTATCCTAATTTTTTCAGACAAAAAAAGTGTGGCCACCCTGTTATTATTTTAAATGTATGTAATATTTATAATATTATTAAATATCAATATACAATATTATTATATATCTATTAATATTAATATATATATTTTTTACTTTATAATCTTATAAATCTATAACTATGAATAAATTCATTTTTAAATTAATTTTGAAAATTTTTTAAATTTGTTTAAATGCAAATCTTAATGTTTTTTTCTTGATATTTTAAAAACTATTTTTTTAAATTAAGGAATAAATCACAAAAATAAAGCAAAAATGTTGAAATATAATAAACAAATCTCCCAATAGAAGTTTGTCAAGCCCAAAAAATCTCACTTTATAAACTTAAAACTGACCAAAATAAAAAGACATTATTTTAAAACTGTTTTTTTTTTTTTTTAATTTTAGGTGGTCTGAGTAGTTTTTAGGGTTTTATCACAGAGCACCGCGAAAGAGCATTTAATAGAAAATTTGTACCTCCTTCCTCACCAATATCATAAAACTTGCCCAGAGATGGGGTTGACCCACGAATCTCTAGGTTTTGAGCCAAGCGCGCTAACCACTGCACTACAGCTGCTTAATTTAAACAAGGAAAACTGTCAGAAAGAATTTGAAAAATTAACTTTATATTTTAATTTTTAAAAATCTTTTTTAACTAAAATTTATTTGTAAAATTGTAAGTTATAAAATTCAAAATGTCACAAGAGATGCTAACTCCTTATAGCAGCGTCTATTGTAGTATTTATTAAAAAGAGAAAGATCAAAATTAGAATGTGACAATGGTTGAAGTTTGTTTACAAGAGCAGGTTCATTTATGTTTACAATGGATTTTTGCACTTTGTTTAAAAGAGAAATGGCATCATTGAAAAACCTGTTCCAGATATGTATTCCATACAAGGATGGATTAGAGATTCATTCCATACAAGGATGGATTAGAGATAAAAAATAAAATCTGGATCAAGAAGTGGCGAGCACAATAAAGAGATCTAACCTTAGAAGATGCAATGGATTAGATATATGGTTTCCAAGAAAGATCGAAAGTATGAGTTGTTCCTAGAAGACAAAGGGTAGATGACTAATTGAGTACACTACCCTTCATAAATATAGGAAGATCTAGATTATTGCAATAACAATTAGCTGGAAAAAAAAAGTTTATTTGAGTTAAAGTTCACCAGCTACTGAGAGCTCTATGCTGTAGCAGAAGTGAGATCCTTTTCAAGCTCAAATACCCCTTCCAAGCAATCAGACAGTGTTTGCTACTTATCAAGACAAGAATAGATAGTAATATCATTAGCTAACAATGCCACCTTAGATGTCAGAATTTCTGTGAGATTTTTAAGGGCTCAAATCTTATATTTCAACCAATTTTAAGAAAACTTTGTTGATCGCTATCTTTGATTTTCCTGATTTTTACATATTGTTATGTGCATTATGTAGATAGGTTAAATTTTAAATTTCAGACTTTCAAGTACAATGGTTTGGAAATTATAGCCTTAGAAACATGACACAGTGTGAAATTATAGCCTGAGAAACATGACTCCCCTCAATTTACAAATGGTCAAAATAGAATACTTTAGAGCTGCATAACTTTTTTCTTACTTTCAACAAATGTCTCATTTTTCTAGAACTGTTTTCTGAATAGATCTTTCTTTAAAAAAGTAGTTTTTATTAACTTATATTAGATAAAAGAAAGATGATGACCTTCTCAACTTTAGAAAAAATCCTGAAGTTTGCTAAAATATGCTAAAATTAAACTAATTGTAGCATTTTTCTATTCACCCACAAGTCTTTACAGATAAGTTTTCTGATTAGCTACTACTGTCAGCAATAAATGGGCAAAATATAGGTAGCTTGATGCTGTTTAGAACTTGAATATATTTAAAAGCAAAATGTCCATTTGCCTAAAAAGTCCAGTTTTCAGCCATTTTAAGATGCTTTTAAATTTTTCTAACACTTCAATTTTTCAATTTTTCTAACATGTTGTTTTTTAAGATTAACAGCATATAAGACCATTAGACCCAACTATTTAAAAATTCTAATATTACAAACTTGTATACAAGTTAATAAAAACCACAATAAGACTTACGGATTATTACTGTTAACAAATCAGCAGTAGAATGAGAAGATTGAAATCCATATTGATGATCAGAAAGTTTTTAGGTTCAAATGTTTGTTGATTAAAGACTCATAAAAAGACTAATGGGACGGTAGTTAGATAAGTCAGATTGCTCTCCAGAATTTTATATAATAGGAATAACAGATGCCGCTTTCCAGCAGGCTGGAACACAAAACTCTGATAAGCAATTGTTAAATAGTTTCAAAAGTATAGACAGCAGCTCTAGAAAACACTTCTACAAGCTGTAGAAGAGCCCAAGCAGAAAACCAATTACAAACCAGATACAGACGCTGGACTGATATAAATGTCAAGCAATGGATCAACCTATTTGTGGGTTATATTAGGTTAGATGTAATTAGTGGAATCAAGAGATGAGATTGGTGAAAAGTATTTAGCAAACAATTCAGCTTTGTATTTAGGTAAGATAGCAAAATCTGAAAACCATGAAATGAAGAGTGGTGAAACAGATAAGATAGCAAAATCTGAAGAGAGGTGAAATAGGTAAGATAGCAAAATCTGAAAACAATGAAGAGAGGTGAAACAGACTTGCCTTTATTATAGACATGTTAAAGATTCTTCAGAAGTCCCGGGAGCCTAATTTTTTATATAAAATTCAATATTTTTGACTCTTTTTAGAATGGCTTCTAGCAATAAACACTTCCATATCTATCTTCAAACTGTTTTGAAGATAGATATGGAAGTGATGGATACAATTGGAAATTGCAGCAGTAGAGAGCAAGACCACGGAGAAGAGACTTATAAGTTTGACAAAATTAATATTGAGGAAGTTTGACAACCTTATGAAGTTTGACAAAATAAATATTGACAAAGTTTGAAAAATTTTATATCTATAATAGTTTTTAAATATTTATCACAATATATATAAACAAATGTTATATAAATTTAAAAATTTGCAACAAACAAAACAAATGAACTTTTTACATAAGTTTTAAACGCACAACACATAATTCTTAGAACTGTAAGAACTCAAAAATTGTTTTTTTAAAATTATATCAAAAACAAAACTTTCATGTATATTAAAAAGAAAATATTT